TACCAGGTACACATCCTCAGATCTGCGCACTAAATTGTCAGACACCCAATATTAATAAAATAATAAAACAGTTAGCATCCTCAAAGTGTACGTGTCAAATGCCTGCAGGATAGTCTGTAAAGTAAAAACATTCCAAGCTGAACTAATTTAATTTATTTATTATAATAAGGTACAGGAGGATAACAAATATGGCTAAAAGTCATACAATGTAGGGCCTTGACGGTATACCTTGTTCATCGAATTCAACTTCTTTTGTTTTAAACGAGCCTCATTTGCCTTTGCTTTTCTAAAATAATCGAAATACGAGAAATTCAGAGAAAAATTAAGTAGAGTCAAAGAATTTGAAATATCACAAAGGACCTACTGCTCTTCGTGACGAACTACGACCTCTGGCGAGGCTGGAGGTTTATTTAAGGTGTTCATACATTCAGTAATTGATCTCCTTATGCGTTCAAGACAGTCTGCCTGATTAAGTATTTGAAGGCGTGTACGATCAGATGATATTATGAAGTAACCATCCTTAGTGATTCTATTTTTCTCCTAAAAGAGTAAAAATAAGGGCGTTACCTTGTCAATGAATACTTTTTTTATATCTTCAGGAATCCATGAAACTGCCTGGACGTTGAATTTCACTTGGACTTTGGAGCGTGCTTAAAATAAAGTAATTTAACCAAAATGGCATACTCTTGTTTACATTTTGGCCCCCAGGTCCACTAGAAGATATATAAGTAAACGTAATATCGTCTAATTATACAATTATAGAACTACAAGCATACCTAAATTTATGTATCCTGTGAACCTAGAAGGGTCAACGTACTGAGAATAAGTTAAGGATAATAAAATACCTCAGAGAGAGAGGGTTTTTCAAACACCGCGGACGAATCCGAATTATCATATAAATTTTTTAAATTTTGTGAACTCTTGAAATCCGAAAGGTTTCGCCAAGAAATGACGGGGCAATAAAGGGGGCGCAAGAGGAGGACAGCCCTCAGGGCAGTACTCATAAGGAATTGAAATGCCCAGCAAAGTTTATAATTTATATTTCACATATATTCTTTAACTAATATTATTTTACATTTTTAAATATAAAAACAAAGGTTTTGTTCTTTTTGATAAATTGTTGGCTTTCTCGAAATTTCAACTACTCTTGGAGTGACTTTGCCTGCTTATCCAACGTTTTCTTTGGCCTGCACTCACGATGCACCCTTTCCTTCGTTCAATCTC